GTCAACAAGGTCTATTCCCTTATGTAGCCGCTTCCTCCTGAGACTGACTACCAAGGTCCGGCTATTAACATATTGAAGTCCAGCAATCAAAAGCCCTCCTTGGCTCACCTAATTAACATGCCTAATTAAAGTTAAACACCTCACATGGTGTTTCCTCTTTACCTTTATAAACTACCATTTGTCCATGGGCCATGTCTGTCTGCCTCCTCTCTATCTAGAGACAGTCCTTTGCTCCTCTAGGGCAAAAATTCCTTCCCCCTCTCCCGTGTCCCATTTCTCTTCTCCCTACCACCCCCATCTTCTATCTCCTGTCTTTGTCTCTTATTTCCTGCCCTTTGTCCCTCAGGGGCAAATAAATCCTTTGTGCTAAGAACTTGGTCTTGGGGTCCTGAGCTGATTCTTCCAAGAGGAATCAAGAACAAGATGCCAGTTCAGGGGTGGGAGCCTCTCACCTGGAGCCCCATTTTCTTACTGGGACAAAGCAAGGACATAACCTTTGCCTTTCCAGCAGGCCCCAGTCCTTGACCCTCTGTGAGGTCAGTAGGAAAAAGGAGAATGGATGGTTTGTGGGTCCTCATGCCTGGAGGCATTCTATAGGATTCAAAGAATAGGTGGACACTTGTGTCCTTTGACCTGGGCCATGGCTCATTTTCCACCTCTTTGGTCACTGTGGAACAGTAAGTGTGAATGAGAAGGGTACCTCCCCCCTTCTACTTTTAATCTAAGCACCACCCCTGAAGACTTCCAATATCTTTGGCCTTGAAATATTTGAGCTGGTTATCCTGAGCTTGCCTGACACCGCACTGGAAGGCAAAGGAAAAGTTTCTAGATGGAGCCGTTAATCTCATAGCTGCAGAAAGAATGCCTTGATTTCCATCAGACATTTCAGTTTCCACCTTGGGTTTGGTTAAGGTGACAGTCTACTTTAAAACCTCGCCTCTACACGGCTACCCTAGTTAGCTTCTCTGTAGCTTCGATAAAACACTGACAAAAAAAAGAAAGAAAGAAAGAAAGAAAGAAAGAAAGAAAGAAAGAAAGAAAGAAAGAAAGAAAAGAGAGAAAAGAGAGAAAAGAGGGAGGAAAGGGTTTATTTGGTTTCCAGGTCACCGTCCATCCTAGATGGAAGCCAGGGTAGGAACCTGGAGGTGGTAACTGAAGCAAAGGCCAAGGAGGGAGCCCTGCTTGCTGGCTTACTCCCCTGGCTCCTGGGTTACCTTTCCTACATAGCCCAGGTCCAGGTGACCCCGGTGGGTGGAGCTCTCCTATGTCAATCAGCAACCAAAACGCCCACAAACCAGTCTGATGGAGATGGTGCAGACAGTCCTTTTCTTGAGTGTGTCTTCCCTGATGGGTCTAGGTGTGTGTCAGTTTAACAAAAACTAACCAGCAATCTGCATTCATGTAATAATGCTAATGTTTATAACCTCAAGGGATACTTTGCTATTCTGTTTTCAAGCCTTGTATCCTGGAACATAAACCTCACCTTTCTCCTTTTGTTCTGTGCTGGAAATTGAACCCAGGGTCTAGGCCATACTAGGCAAGCACTCCTAGACTACCCTCCCAGCCCTGGAATTGTTTTGAAAACAAGATTGGTGTCAAATGGTCTCCTTACTACTAAAGTCTAATCAATTCCTGTTTAAGGAAAATCATTTTTCAAGTTTTTGCTTCATGAGCTATTTGAATGTGGATAAATTTGGTGACTACTGATGGCGTAGAAGAGAGTCAGTGAAGCAGCAAGAAAGTGCTTGTTGAAGGGCCAAGTAGGTGCCCTGTCTGCCACGGCAGGACAGAGCACCCGCTTGGCCCTTCCTCCAGCTTCCATTACCAACCACAGCATGTTCCGGGATCTTTAGCTGGCAAACTGAATTCCAGGCTCACCTGCACGTGTGAGCCATCAGTAAAGACTGAAAGGGAAAAAGAACCAACCCACAAGGGGCCAGAGGGATAGTTCAGTGGTTAAGAATACGTTCTGCGCATACAGAGGACCCAAGTTCAATTCCTAGAACCCACCTTGGGAGGCTGATAGCCTCCTGTCACTCCAGCTTCAGGGAAATCCAACACCTCTGACCTCCGTGGGCATCTGAATGTTTACACACGCACGACACACACAAACACACACACGCTGGCTGGAAGGATGGCTAAGAGCATTAACTATTCTTCCAAAGGACCCAGGTTCAATTCCCAGCCCCCACGTGGTGGCTCACCAGTATGAGTGGCCCCAGTTCCAGGGGATCTGATGCCCTTTTCTGGTTCTCAGGGGCACCGTGTGCATGTTTGCACAGGCACACATGCAGGCAGACGCTCGCCCACATACAATGAGGGTAAGTGTTAAAAAAACAACCAAGAAGCTCTAAAACAAAAATACCCCATTAACTAAACACGGGCCTGGAAAACGCCAGCGGACAACGGACTTGCAGGCGGGTGGGCATGGAAGCCCACCTGTAACCCCAGCACTCACTCAGGAGGCAAAACCCAGGGAGCCCTGGGGGAAAGCTGGCTGGCTAGAGTAGCTGGATTAGTGAGCTCTCGGGGTATATCAGAGGGAGAGTGATCGAGGAAGACGCCTGATGCCAACCTCTGGCCTTCCTACACAGCCCCCTAAACACACACAGTGAGACCCTACATCGCGTGGGCATCGTGGGAGACCGTTGCTGATATTCTGAACTTGAAGGAGGTGCAGGACTTTCCGTGTTTGAGCGGAGCCTTTCTTGGTGGACCTACTAAGTTAGATGGTTCAGGAAGCAGCATTTCCACACGGGGTGTGAGTCAGTAGACATTGCTGTGCTAGGAAAATCCCAGGATGCCTTCCTGCTTCTCATCTGCTCGGTCTCTGACTGCTCACCAACCTTCAGCACATAAGCCAACTTTCTCGGCTGGTGTGCTTTCCTTTCTTCCATCCTGTTCCCTAGAGCTGCTGGGATTGCACGCGCATGTGAGACTGGATACAGGGGCCTTTCTCTAGGCACCAAGCCAAATGTTCCTTTTCTGTCTCAAAGAGCCTGTCTAAATCCTCCCTGCTGTCTTACCCCTTCAAAGATTAGCTTAAACTGTTGCTTTAGACCACTCCATCTGAAATCAAGGGAGGTGGGGATTCAGCATGTTCCCTTGCTAACAGGATAGAGTCCAAACGCCACTCTGCTGTGTAATGTATCCGTGTAAGCTTAAAAGGTTCACGGCCATGGGACTGCTGGGAGACTGCTTTGTACTCTTCACACTGTGCATGACTGTGGTTTGCCTAATGAGGTTCCCGAATGCCTGCTGTGGCGGTTCACTTACAACCTAAACTGCCGGGAAGTTCTCCGAGAAACGTTGCCCAGCATGGCGTGATAAGATGCTACCTGCAGGCAGCTAATGTAAAGGTTTTGGTAGCACCCTGTTCTGGTTGTTGTTGCTGCTGCTGTTATTATTTTGTCAATTTGATACAAGTTAGCACCATTTGAGGAAATGGCCCCACAAGACTGGCCTGTAAGCAAACCCATACATGTTTTCTTGATTAAAGATTGATGGGGAAGGGCCCAGCTCACGCTGGTTGGGCCCACCCTGGCAGTGAGCCTGAATAGTGTAAGAAAGCAGGCTGAGCAAGTCATGGTGAGAGAGTTAGTAGGTAGCCTTCCCCATGGCCTCCTCTCTGGTTCCCACCTGGAGTTCCTGCTCTGATTGCCCTCAGTGATGGGTTATGATCTAAGAGTTGTAGGATGAAATAAACCCTTTCCTCTGCAGGCTGCTTTTGACCATGGTGCTTATCAATCACACCGATAGAAACCCTGACTGGGACATAACCTCAAACCAACCTTACAGAACCTTGTTGAATTCACTCATGATCTTTGGCAGTTTGAGGACATAGTTTTTCTCAGTTTGAAAATCACATACACTATGCATTGTCCAATAAGGTGCTTTTTCCGTTTACAACGGGAGGAAGGAGACGTGACAATACTTACAGCCTTGGGCTATTCCTACTCTGTGAGCTTTCCGCTCCCACAGGGCCTGCGATGACAGTGGTGCCTGGGTGACGCCTTGCGCAGGAGGAACCTGAAGAAGTGTTTCTGACCTAGCAGTGTGGTTCTATGCCTTTTTCCCAGATAGTCCGATTTGGCTTTAACAGCTGGTTGTGTTCCCTTCTCAGTAGGTTGGGAGGTAAGCAAGAGTAGGTAAAAAAAAAAAAAAAAAAAAAAAGGCACGGTCTGGGAGAGTGAGCCTCGGCTCCCTGCATGGGCTGGCCTGCAGAGCTTCCCCTCTCTTGAGTCTGGGTTCCCTGGGGACAAAAATCACCAGCAGAGAAGGCAGCCATTCCATCTCTCCAGCGCGCTCTCTGTTCTCAAAGCGAATGTCCCTCCCCTAACGAGGGGTGGGGGGGAGCACCTAAACAGCTCCCATGTGAACAAGTCAGCATCCCAATGTTTACATTTTCTTTCTTCTCTTGAGGCAGGGTCTCATGTCTCCCAGGCTAGCCTTGAACTTAGGGGTAACCTCCTGCCTCCATGCACTGGGATGACAGGCATGCACCCCAACCTTGATTTACAGCACCCAGAATTCTTAAAAATCAAGTTGAACCCCTCCCCCCCAAGGCTTTCCTCGCTTGGAATCAAAGTATGCCCAGTGTCTTATTTTTTTTTCATGGAGACAACTCTACTTAAAAAAAAAAAAAAAATCCTGCAGGTGGAGGAAACGCCCATACACCCGTTTATGATTCTGTTTACTACAAGATGGAAAAAAATGGATTTCAGAAAAAAGTTGAGATTAAAAATCTAGTAATGTATGGCCTAATTATCTTTTTCACCTGGAGGAAGGCATATTTAAAGGAGACCCCGTCTCCTAATCCTACACTTGGCCAGACTCCAGTCTCTGGAATTCCCCCTCCACCCTCTAACCAGCTCCATTTCTAGTTGATGCCAGAACTTGGATTACAAGTTGCTTCCCCGTTGGGTTATTTTAAGATTCAGGAACTCAAGTTTTAAAATGTGGAAACCCAGCCATTTAACTACTAACCTTCACCTTTACCTTGTGACTCCAGCAGGGTACAAGGACATTTTTATTTAACAGAAGGAAAAACGTAAAAAGTCGACTGTTGACGGTTTATTTTGTGGTTTCTGTACATTCAGGGGAACAAAGCTAGAAGTCACATAAAATGCCAGTTAAATTCGGCTATTGTTAACAACCCGAAGCTTCCAACATTTAAAAAAAAAAAAAAAATCAGAGCAAGCTGGTGAAGATTATGAAACAGTCTCGGGCAACCTCCTAACGCTAAGCACGAGCCGGGACTCGGCGCCCACGCGTGCCCAGAGCCCCTCAGCTGCGCGGCTGCGGTTGGAGACCCGCGCGCGGAGCGCCCGCGCCTTCCCGCCTGCGGCGCAGCTGGCTTTGTCCAGCCGCGGCGGTTGGGATCCTCGTCCGCCTCGTTAATGACCGAGTTCACAGGCGTGAGCTATGACGTGCCTTGTTACCTATTTTAGTAAGTCCGGAACACCGATGGCGTGAGACGCGGCTGGAGTTTTGTTTTCACGCCAGCTCCAATGTCGGTTAGGCTACCTTTAAGGACGCAGAGTCTAAGTCGGTTTCCAGGGTTTAAGGAGAGGAAACAGCCACAAAACACCACAGGAACTTCCCCACCTCGCACACCCAACGACTGTGGCGCCGTCCCCTCCCGCGCCCCGCGACGCCCCGCTCAGAAACTCTGGGCCTTCCAGGGCGGCCCGCCCGCAAGGCCCTGGTGTGTGGTCCAGGCCTGCGCTTTCCAAACCGCCAGGTCCGCTGGGCTTGGCTTGTCTAGGAGCGAGGGAGCCCGTGCCCTCGGGCTGGGACAAGGAGAGAGGGCTGTGTGACGCTGGGGGGGGGGGGGCTGGCCCTAGACCCGGGAGCTGGCGCCTGCCGGGCCACCAAGGTGGCGGACCGCCGCACCCAGGGCACCCCCGTCGCCGTCCTCCGCGGCCCCGCCGTGCGCACTGCTGCAGGAGAGCGGGGCCACCCCCGCCGCGGGGTGAGCTTAAGGTGAGGCTGCGGCGGCTCCCGGCTCTAAGCGGCGCGATCCAGCTAGAACCCCAAGCGACCGAATACCCGCTCGGGCCACTTTAATTGCCAGGGAGTGGGGGAGGGGAAGAAGGCGCCCCGCAGTCTATGGTCTGGGTGAGAAGTCTGGAAAGGCCCTTCTTCCTGGGGCCAGCTCCCTGCCAGGACGCGAGGGCGCGGGCAGACTGGCCGAGGCCGCCCCCGCCCCGGGCCCAGCCGGCCCTCACTTGGAGAACTGAGCCTGCACGGCCGCCAAGCCCAGGCCGGCCGGGACCAGATGCGGGAACTTGCACAGGGCGCAGGAGCAGAAGCCGGGGCCGCCTGCGCCGCCAGCGGGGAGCGCGAACTGGCCGCACGGCGGCTCGTCGAGCGCCAGAGACAGGTACTTGGCGGGGCGCAGCGTCTCGGGGGGCCCCACGGCGCCGGGCGCCAGCAGCACGGAGCCCGGCGCGGCGGCCAGCAGGGGCAGGCCGGCCAGGAGCAGGCGCGGGGCGGCGGGGCCCGCACCCTCGCCGAGCGCGCGGCGCAGCTCCTGCAGCGAGCTGCCCAGCAGCAGGATGTAGTTGCGGGCGAGCAGCAGCGTGGCGATCTTGGAGAGCTTGCGTCCCGGCGCGCCCTGGCAGTGCGCCGCGGAGTAAGGCAGGATCACTTCGCGCAGCGCGTCCATGGCCAAGTTCAGGTCCTGCATGCGCTTCCGCTCGCGGCTGTTGATCTTGCGCCGCAGCTGCTGCTGCTGCTGCTGCTCCTCTCTGGCGTCGGCCCGCGCGCCCCCGCTCTCCGGCGCTGTTCCCAGAGGCTCGGCGAGCGGCGCCTCCGGCTTCTCGCGCGCAGCCTTGGGGTGGAGAGACGCGGTGGGAGAGGAGGAGGACGACGAGATGGGTGGCTGCCTGAAACCCACCAGCTCGTACAGCGAGGCCCCGAGAGGCACATCTCCGGGCCGCTGTGGCCGCAGCATGGTCGCGGGAGCCGCGTTCACACGCGCCTGGGAAATCGCATACTACATCGGGGGCGGGGGCGGGGGCGGGGGCGGCGGGGGCGAGCGAGGGCCACCTTCCCTAGCGCCCGAGGGCGGGCCGGTCGGTGGGTCGCCCTCCCCGCGGACGATGGAGGGGCGCTGTGCGCGCCGGACACCTTTAAACCCGGCTTGGGAACCTGCGAGGGCCGCGGTTGGTGGGGTGCAGCCAATGGAGGCGCGAGGTTGGCCACAGGCGAGTGCTCATTGGGCGCCGGCGCAGAGGTACAGCCAGGGTTGCTGGAGATGGTTCTGCTGTCGCAGCACCCGCCTCAGGAGGAGAAGGGAGGGAGCTTTGGGGCAAAACTCAGATCTCTTCAGAGTTCTTGCTCAGCTGGTCCTGCTAAATGGCTTTTGCCTGTCTTCATGTTCTCTCTACCTCTACCCTCCTCCGCTTTTTACAGTCACACTTATCCTTATAAACTGTGATCAACCAGTCGTCTCAGCGCTGAGAACTTCTACATCAGAAAGGAGACCAACCTAGGCTTACATAGCAAGTTCCAGGCCAGAGTAGGCTACAAATGAGAGCCCGGTTCTATAAAAAATGTAGATCTTTGTAATTTGAAACGCACCATGCCTCAGTCACAGCTCAGTTTTGTTAAAGCCTGTCTTTACACGGTTTTGCCACTGATCTCCAGGACCTATTTGCTTTTGCAAAACTTAAACCATTGAAATAGCAACTCTGTGACTCTTGATGACCGTTACAAAGAGCAGCCTCTGCCTGTATTCGCTCACTTCCCGTTGCTATGACACACACCAGCAAAAGCAACGGGGAGGAAGGAGTTCACTTGGCTTCCGTTCCCAGTCACAGCTCCTCTGAAGTCAGGATGGGAACACAAGCAGGCACGGGGGACCAAGAGGAGCCCACTGAGGGAAACTCTTGCCGGCTTGCTTCCCCAGGCTCTCTCTGTTTAAGCAGCACAGGCCTGCCTGCCTGGAATGGGCCAGCTCACGGTGGCCCGGCCCTCCCACATCAATTATTAATACAGAAAAAATAATACAGAAAATGTCAAAGAAGGGCCCACAGGCCAAGCTGATGGAGGCAGTTTTCTCATTTGAGCTTCCCTCTTCCTGGCTATGTCCAGCTGACAGCCAAGACTGGCCTCCACCCTCCACGTGGGGATCACTACCCCGTCTGCACGATTGTTTTGTCACAGCGTTTGTCCCGTGGGGCCAGCTTCTTCTGGCATGTGTTCAGGTGTCCTCCTTGCTGGACACAGCATGCATCTAAGCTCTTCTTCCTTTTTTCTTTTTCTTGAGACAGAGTTTTCTATGTCCAAGGTTGGCCCCCAACTCTAGGTATGAAAAGATAAGGTTAAGCTTATGACCCCCCCCCCCGTGCTGGGATTTCAAGCATCCACTAGCGTGCCGGTTTATGTGTCGGTGGGGGTCTGAGTCCACGGTCTGTGCTTACTAGGCAGGCACTCTACCAACAGGGCCGCAGCCCTGGCCTGAAGTTTTACTAGTGAAAAAGCCAAAGAGCATACTACACTTTTTGGTGATCTATGGCATTTCCTGTACCCACTGCCTTTCCTTTATCTGAGTTCACAGAGGGTGGCTTCAGCCCCTTGGCTATTAGGACAATGCTCCCACATATAAGGTCTATTCTGGTTTTGCTTTTTTTTTTTTTTTTTTTGGTACAACATTTCCCAGCAGGTCCAGAGAATGAAATGTGTGGCAGTAAGATAGTCTCCATCAATCTCACCGCATCTCTCTGACCCCAAAGGTCTGTAGGGATGAAGGAGTCTTTGAGGTTATAATGGGGTCTTCCTTCCCCAAAGGGTTGTGAGCTCTTTATCAGTGACCTTTGCTTAAGCAAAACCCACTCTAGCTTCTTATCGGAAGGAAAACAACTCGCCTACATTCCTAGCTGTTGAGGATGGGACCAAATACATCTCTTCCCAAGGACAACAGGATTGCTAGAGAAAGCTTTCCCCTCTGAGCACAAGTGGGACAATCTGGAAACTTTCAAAGTCAAGAAATGTCCCCGGGAAGAGTAGTTCAGTATCTGAACTTCTGCTGTCCAATATGATAGCCGTGGCTGCTTGATAAAGTGTGAAATTAATTGATAAGATGAAGCTCAGGATTGCATCCCCAGGGTACACGTGTGGCCTCAGGTGCACAGCAGTTGTACCTGCTGACCAGCAGATATGGCACACACCTCCGCTGGCTGAAAGTGCAGGTCTAGGCTGTAGCCAAAGATGGGCTTCCACTCCCTTTATGCTTTCTGGTTAAGACAAGGGGGTCTGCCATGAGAGCTGATGTTTGCTGTGAGTGCCCGTTGGCTGTGCTTGCCAAGACTGTCCTTCCAAGGCTGCCATGGCGATGTTCACGCCATAGGCCACTTGAGTCTCTGCTTCCAGCCTCCAACCAAACCTGTAACCTCCTGTGCTAGCACAGCTTAAATGCAGTTTCTTTTCTTGGGATATTTCCCATCTGCCCTCTTTCATCATGCCTGACCAACCGCTGGCAGCTTCCATCCAGCCTGGATGGTCCTGTGTGTGGATATTGTCTTGTCCATCCAGGACGGTTTTCAGAGCAGGGAGTCATCTGTTGATGTCTGCATCCCCTCGAAGCCCAGCACCATGCTTTTGTGTCTCCTGTGTGTCCAAGAGCTGTGGAGGTGGGTTTGAAATCACCTCTAGCTCACAATAACAATCTGTCCCTTAAAATGTGCAAATGCCCAAAGTTGCTCATTTGTGAGTGTGCGAAGGTTTACAGAGAGAAGGAAGTTGGTGATAGGAGCCTGCTTGGGGAGAGAGGAGGTGGCTAGAAGAAGCTGAGTTTGAAAACAAAAATCGCACCAGACAGGAAGCAAAGCAACACCAAAAACTAGCAAGAGACCTTTGCTAATCGTGTCACCCTTGGGCATGGCAGTCTATCGGAAATGTTTGCATGGATATTTGTATTTGGCTCTCCCAGGACCATAGTAGCTGGGCATTTTTGATCCCCATTGAACACTATAAAACAGACATTCAGGAAGTGCCGGACTACTGAATGCCTTCAGACACGAGAGGCAAAGCTCCTCTGTCAGCAGATGGCTTTTTAAAACCCCTCCTCCTGGCCAAGCTTCCAGGAAGCCAGGACAGAGCTATAAGGGAAAGAGTTGCAGACTGGGTTGAAAGGACTAAACACCCAGCCAAAGTCTAGCCAGTACTGACAAGGTTGTGGGTTCAAGCTATGCTCCCAGAGTGGGCACCCGGGAAGCCACCTCCAGAAACCACACGCCAACTAGGCAGGCCCTGCCCAGCCTTTTCCTTCTGGACCCCTTGGTACAAAGTACTAAATTGGGGCAAGTCTTGGTGTCCTCTTTCTCTGGCTTCCTTCGTCCCATTCCCTCAGCAGAGACCCCAAACAGTGAGACAGAGAGGCAGAACCCAGTCCTGGGTCACAATGGCCCAGGGGCTCCCCTCTGTGTCCCCACCCACTGGCAGGTGCACCAAGATTCTTCCCTCCAGGAAGACCCTTTTATTGTGGGCATTCTGGAGGGATGTTTTTGCCCTTGGCCTCACTTTGTCAATCCCTTCTTAGAGAAACAAGCGTCCCCCCTCCCTCCCCCCGCCCATCAAAGATACATGGTAGTCAGCGTGCATTTAAGTGTTCCAGCCGAGGGCCCCAGAAGAGAGTTCCGGGTGGCCGTACGGTCCCAACATGGGCACAGGACTTGGCACTCTTTGGAGCTGGTGACTTGGATGGCCCCTTGTGCCAGGCCCAGAGCTCCAACAGCATGCAAAGTGTGACAGCTGGCAGAGGCCAGTGAGGTATTGTGGCCACTGGCAGGGACCCATGCAGTCTGTCTCAAGGGGAGGCAGCTGCTGTGGCCTCCCGCATTCAGGACATGCCTGGGGAGCAAGTTGCACTAGCCCTAACAACGCTCTTGTCTTCACCCAAATGGGCTGTGTCTCTCTGTCTCTGTCTGTCTGTCTTTCTCTCTGTGTGCACATTTGGTAGGGGGAGGTGTGTGTGTGTGTGTGTGTGTGTGTGTGTGTGTGTGTGCATACTCACATGAGTGATGGATTTCAGCCAGAGGTGTGTATCTTAGGCTCCTTTTACCGCACATAGAACGTAAGCTGTCCTGCCCACTGGCTTTGGGCTAAGAGGCTGGAACCTGTGAAATGGCAGGTGAGGTGTTGTGGGGTGCTGTAGCTCTAAACATGAGGACGGGCTGTGGCTTTAACGCCTGATGTGGCTTGAAGCCTCCTGTTTTCCCTGAAGACATTTTCCTCCCACAAGCAGCTAGCTAAGTGTTCAGAGGTTGTCTTTGCTAAATGTGGTGTTGAAATTGCTGGAGCTGAGACCTGTGTTGGAATGATGGGGTTTTCTAAAGCATTAAAAGCTTATTCTATGGGCATTGCGGTTCACTGTCAGTATGGGAAGTGGCAGCTTGTCCAATGTCCGTGTCCTTCGTTGCCTCCAGATACAACCTGCCTAGAATGTAGGAGGCAAGGAAGTGCCAGAGAGAGCAGCTTCATGCTGGATGCTCCCTTGTGGGAGAGGAGAGCGAGAGCAAAGAGAAAAAATATTCTTCGCTCTTTCTCCTTAGATGGAGAGAAAGTCTGTGAACTGCCTCATCGGACTTTACATCCCTCTTAGAAACAACACTCTTCAAATGCTGGCTCCATCTGGAGCCATGCCAAAGACCGCGAAGTGAGTTTATTTTCAAAAGTCAGTGCAGTTGGCCTAGCGTACTATCTGGTACCCGGCTACGCTATTTTGAAATCCATCTGGTCACCTCCATCATCTTTATTTCTAATATGGCAGGGCACAGGCGGAGACACAGTGTTCTCTTTTGTGAGAACCACAATAAAGATTATCTAATGTAGTAAGTCTATTTTGTGAATATTAATAGAGTTTATTTTATTTTTACACGTGTGTGTACGTGTGTGCGCATGTGTGTGTGTGTGCCCGTGCCCCTGTGGAGGTCGGAGGTTAATGAGAGGCGTCTTGCTCTGTAATTCTCTACCTTAGTTTTTGACACACAGTCTCTTACT